CAAGCCTCTTGTGAACTCTGACGAATCCATTTCTTTCTTTCTTCTTCCAAAACAACAGAAACTAACTCTAGCTATTTAAACTAAAATGACATGTATATGAGGATGGATATATATATATAATATATATATTACATATATATTATATATATATACACATATGGGTTTCGGAATTCAGATAAACTGTAAGAACTGGAAAGCCCGGCATAGGACAGTCTCTCTGTCTTTCCTCAGCTCATTCATTAGTTGCAGTGCTTTCTCTCACACACATTCCCTCTCTTTCCCTCCCTCTCTCTGCCTTATTCCCTCACTTCCCCTCCCCCTCCCTCTCATCCTTTCCTACTCCCTCTTCTTCTCCCTCTTCCTCCCCTTCTGCCTCTCCTTTCTCCTGCAGTTACTTTCTCTGCTCCCCACCCACACAGTGGGATGTAATGACCCTTTAGCATCCAAATGACCAACTACACAGAAAGACAAACACTTACTACAGAACCCCAACCCCAAATTCCAGGAAAGCATGGAATGTTGTCCTAGCCTAATGGCTGTCAAGCAGGAGGAGAGGGTCTTAAAATTATGGGTCATCTGAGGGAAACAGCTAATGACTAGGAACCCTCCAGGGTCATCTGGACAATGAGTAAGAAATATTTACTCCTCTGAAGAGTTAAGATTTTGTTTAATTCTTATTTTTTGTTGTTATTATAAAGGTGATCTATAGGAGGGTTATAGTTACATTAGTCAAATCATGAATACATTTCTTTTTAGACAACGTCACCCTTTCTTTTGTTCTTTCCCAGTTTTCCCTCTCATACCCACCCACAGTTGTATAGCTCATTTTCAACATAGTGTCTAGTGAATACCACTGCTGCACCTGTTCCCATCATCTCTGTGCCCCTCTTACGCTCCCAAGGACAACTATGCAAACACAATAAAAAGAAAAGAAAAACAACAAAGAACAAAATCTCTTGTTTCCAATTGTGGGAGTTCATTCTGATAAATGTTGTTTTATATGATCAGAGGCACACAGGCATTTCGTCTTTGTGATCCTCCCCTAAGAGCGTCCTCCTTTGGTCTCACTGTGTACGATGGCAGAGAGACCTGGATAATTTATCATGTCCTGGTGTAATTTTGATCTAGATTCCATATATATAAGAGAAAACATGCACCATTTATCTCTCTTAGCTCGACTTATGTAACAAAATTTGTTCTAGGTCTGTCCATTTCTCTGTAAACAACATAATATTATTCTTTATAATAGCTGTATAAAATTCCATTGAGATTTAAGAGCTGAGCATGTTTTCCAAAAGTATATGTTTTGTTTTCATTGACATGAAACAGATCACAGACCTTAGAATCAGACCCAGTTAGCTTTGAGTATGTGCTCAGTCACTTAATAACCAAAAACGGTTGAGTAGCCACGTGTCTCTAGTTCTTAATTCTCCCATCTCTGAGATGAGGGTGGCTGTGAATGTGTGATTCTAGCACCTACCTGAAGCCTTCACATCACCATGGGTTCTCAGGAAATGTTGATTCTCCTTTTCCTTGAGGTCGTGAGAGTAACCTTTCAACACCACCAATAGGTCATGTCATTCTCTTGCTTAACACTTGGACAGCTTCCCATTGCCCTCAGAATAAGGTCCTATCTCCTCAAGATAATATTCAAAGCTTTTACAGTTCTCTCTTCTCCTTCTATACATCCCTGCTCACTCCTATACCCCAGCCACAGCAAAGACAGTTCTTGGCACCATTCACACAACTCTCCTCCACTGCCCATCTTCTTCTCCCAGCCTTGAGTGCCCTAATGCCTGAGCTTCCTTAGAAACCTTTCCTTAAGAAATTCTTTTGTAGCCATTACTTTTAGTCACAAGGGAACAACAGTTGGTTCTGCACCATCCTGGTCAGGACCCCTGTTTGGCATTCCTGGAAACCAACCAGGCAGTTTGAATTATCTAGAGACTGCATGGAAAGGCAGCCTTATCCCACTGCTCATTCCTAGAATGTTCTGCCACCACCACCCCAACCTGAAATAGAGATGTCAATACCTCTTCACAACTTCTACCCAATGGTTTTTAATTTTACCCTAGAACAGTCCCCAAATTTGAAAGCTTAAATCATGTATCTTCTTTCCCAATGCCCCAAATATCTTTCCATTCTGGAAGATTCATCATCCTGTAACATCCTCCAAGCTGTTGCTGTTCTCAAGCCTGGCACTCTTGAGTAGACTAGCTACTACTTTCCCCACTATGATCCCCACAGACCTGTGTAGCCTCAGATCAAGTGGCCTTGACATTCAGGTGACTCACATATCTGGAACCTGTGAACTTTTGGTGAGCCACATTCATTCCAAGCCCCTATCATATGACCATCTGTCATGCCAAGTTCCACCTTTCCCCACTCCCAGACTTACGCAAGTGACAATAGTTGTACAATTCACCAAGAGCAGAGACTAGAAGATGTCAAGATTTGTGATCTCTAGTCCATCACAGCAGTTCACGTGTCCACAATTTGTTGAACAGAAGGCCTTGTGTGTGTTAGTAATTATAGTAAATATGACTAATACTCTGTGCAAGGCTTGGGACTAAGAAGTATACAAATCTTTTCTTATTTCCCCTTCATAAGCCCTTGAAGACTTTACAGACAAGGAAACTGAAGCTTAGAGAGATTAAGATATTTAAGACACTGGTCCAATAGAATGGAGGGTTAGATCAGACATCAAAGCAACAAAATCTCAGCATATTAAATATGACAGCTGTGGGTTCTAGTGTTTCATTCCTAAAATTAGGAATCTTCAAATCTCACTGACAAAACTTGATTTTATTTAAATAAAGAGAAGGATTCACATCAATCAGATGCAAATAATATGTCTCCATCCTCAAGTATTCCTGTAGGCATGATGGTTCTCTCTTACAAGATGTTCAAAAGTCATGGAGCTCTGGTCTCACTCTTGCCCCCACATACCCCTTTTTTATTTTTTTTCTTTCACTTTTTTGAGGGGAGGAATTTGGGGGAAGTAATACATGAAACAATTAATGCAGCAGAGTACATCTAAGTGCTCAGAAGTTGTTTCTAAGTCAGTGGGCAGGGAATAAAAGGTTGTATGATATTGAATCCTTATTTACCACGTCCTCTTTTAAACCTGAATGAAGTGTGAGAACAGATCTGGAAGCTTTGCAAAGCTTCTGTTAACATTTTTTTCTGCTCTTCACCATTTATGTAATAAAACTAGGTCTCTGGTTGATTAATTTCATGACTTCTTGTCAAACTGATTCAGATCTGCAAATTGCAGTAAAACTTTTATTTATTTAACACAATTCCAAGGGCTTCTCATATTCAAATTTTAAAAGACAATAACTTCTTTTTAGAAACTTAACTATGAAATGAAAAAGGGCATTGGTTTGGTTAGTCTCCATGTAAAGAAGAACTCATGAGCTTAGTGTGCAGATTACACTGCTCTGCTTAGGCCTGGCAAGTCAAGACATTCTCTGTCATATCACTTCCCCTGTAGCTCATGAATAATGGAGAGAACTTTGTCCACCAAACTTTTCACCCACTCCCAAAGATCAGGAGGACTAGAGTCTGTCAGCCAATATTCTGGACAAACTCTCACTATGGACATTTGTACTGATTGAACTCAGATCTTATCCTGCTTGTTCTGAAGTCGGATCAGAGATCTACCTGCTGACTATGTGGCATCCCAGAAGATTTGGAAATATTCTTGATGTGAGTATGGGATAGGAACAGGGGAATTCTTGAGGCCTAGGAAGGAGAGGAGGGCTCCAAGCACAACATCAGCATTAGGCAAAATCTGAGCATTGTGCCAAAGCCTTTTCCAGTTATTTCTAAATCCATGTGCTTTTCAAAGGGAGCTCAGGTCACCTCAGGGGTGAGGACACACCAGTTACCTATATGCAGAGCCAGTATCTCTGGGACCAATTCCTCAAATGCTCCGTCATTTTTTCTCCTTATCCAGTTTCTACTTCTCCATCAGGATCTAGTTTATTTTCATCAAAACCTCTCCATCAAACCATCTAGCCATCATAACCACTAGCCTATGACAGCATAGTAGTTATCTAGTAAAGTGGTTCTTGACTAGGAGCAGCCTGATGGATTCTTTTAAATTTTTTAAAATATAGGAACGCACACACATAAATTTACGCACAAGTAAATATATGCATATTTATATCTTTTTCATATACTTACCCAAAAACTGTTTCCTAAGAACCTACTGCTGCCCGCTTCTGAGTACACAATGGGGAGCAACATTACCAAGGTCTTGACCCTTATAGACCTTGCACAGGACCGACCATATGTTTTATGGTAGGATTTTAACTGGCAGAGGTGGTCAGAAAAGCCAGAGGCTCCATGAAAGCAGAGATAGTTCTGTCATGGTATGCCACAGTGCTTCACTCTTTCTCCAATATCACTCTGCTTCGGGCTACTCATGCCACAGAATCAGACACACTGGCTGCTGGGTGAAAGGCAGGGATGAAGTACTGACCACAGAATCAAGATGCAGATCGGGAGTCTAGAGGGGCCCAGTCTAGTTAGAGAGGAACTGAGTAACTGGATCTTTTTTTTTTAATTTTTAGTATGTTTTTTATTGTAAAAATACCGAGCGGTTATAGTTACATGAATAAGGTAATGAATACATTTCCTATCAAGCATGGTTACCTCCTCCTTTGTTTTTTCCCTGCCATCCCTTCCCTCCTCACCTCCCCAACTCCTCTCCCTCCCCCCCCCAAAGTTACAAAGTTCGTTTTCAAGATAGTGTCTTATGCATCTCGTTGTTATGATGGGTCAACCTGTATCCTTATTTCCGCATTTTGTTATTTCCCTTCCCCTCCCCAAATCAGAAAAATGTGAGTGACTGGATCTTATTTGCATCAAGTCTGAAGTTTGGGGCAGGGTTTGTACATCTTAGCACAGCGGAGCAAGACATTATAACAAGTACTTGAGTAATGGTAAGCCGAGCAGGGAGTAGGAAATAGAAGAAAAACAAAGTTTCCTACCTCTTCTTTTACTTGAAGAGAGTAGTTAGAAGCCCAGCTCGAATGAGATAAAGGAATCAAAAGGAGAGTCCTGACCAGCATGACCGCAAGGCAGCACTTGTAGCTTCAGGCATAGCTGGATCCACAGTATGCCCTCAGTCGTCAGAAATCTGTCACTTTGTCTGAGTTTTCCTTTGGGGCCTATCTTCTTGCATGGATATTTCTCCCTGTGTTAACAAAAACAGCAGTTCCCAAATTACTCCATACCCATTCAGCAACTTCAGTGGAAATAGTCTCCTAACACTTGCAGTAACGTCTTTCATGATTGAGCCTGGCTTAGCCCAGTCTGCTCTGCTTTATCCTTCATGCAAAGCCAGAAGAACAGAAGACTTTGGCTTCTACACACAGGGGCTGAAGGCTCCATGGGTCAGATCAAGCCCACCAAAGCTCAGGCGCTAACTGTGTTAGGAAGGGTATGTTTCATCCAAGGAAAATAAAGCATGTCACCAAGAGGTTGCGCAGAAAGAACAATAATTGTCCCCAAAGCAGGCAGCTAGTGCACCGCTGCCTCCAAAGCTGCTGTCTTTACTTTGAAAGACTTTCATTTCCTCAAGAGCAACAGCAAAATTGCGGGCATGCTCAGTGTAACTTTTTGGATCGTTTGCCCAAGGGGATTGGTACAAAACAGAAAAATTTGACATCATTTCAAAGTTTGATGAAAGATGAGAGGGAGAAGAGAAAAATCCCATCCGTTTCAGGTCTTGAATAGTAAAAGCAGAGTGAGAGGGAAGGGGGTAAACACTTGGGATGTAAATGTAATGAACAAGAGAAAATAATTAAAGAGGAAGTGCTTCCTCTCGTTTGTCAGCTGGGCCTGCGAGGAACAAGAGAAGTACCTTCTCTGGATCCTCAGCTGCTCGCTGCCTTTCCAGCTACCTCCTCTGGAAGAATGAGGCCTTAACAACCAGCATGGGGTCAGGGCTGGCCTCCACCCAAGCCTGAACAGTGCCCCCATTGAGGGACCTCAGGGGCAGCCCTGGATGCCTCTCTCTTCGCCTGTTCCCCTCAATGGGCTATTTGTGGGTCTAACAAGGACTAGGAGACACGCTGCCCATCTCCTCCGAGGTCCCAACAGCTGCAGGATTCCCCAGGAACTACACAGGGCTCCTGCACATCCCTGCAAAGAGACTGATGGGAGGATGCTGGATTCAGAAAGGGTCTCTGGTGATCTCTTAGATGAGAGAGAGAAAAAAAAGACTTCTCAATTCATTCTTTTCTCCCAGCCCTTTCCCCCACCTTCTGGGCAGCACTTTTTTTATTTTTTTACCCCCTAAAGGATTTGTAATCCTGCCGGCCCCACCCTCCTTGTGGTTGGGAGAGAGAAGAGAAAGGAGGAATGATCTTCTTCCTCAGAGGAAGAGAGTTTAGGATCACATCCATATCTAAACATTCCAGCTTCGCTGTCCAATTCCCCTGCAGAAATAAAGTGACTTAGAGTGGAATGTGGTAGGCAAACACCTCTCCTCCACCACCAGGACCATAGCTGGCACAAAGAAGCAGAAGTCAATGATGTATTCTGGATTTTGCTGTGTCCATTAGGTGATGATTTCTGTGGCCTGTTGGAAAATAGATCAGGAGAATGTCCAGAACACACAGAAAAGGATGAAGTCTCTGATTTTCTACCTACATAGGCTACAGAGTTTTCTCTGTGCCTTTTCACTTAAGAGATGCAAAGTAACCCCTGTCCCAATGTCTCCTTCTAGAAGCTTGGAAATGTCCCATTCTTGGGAGTATTTCCTTATTTGTAGGTTGAAACATGTAAAGTCTGCTGGAATAGTCCATTTTCTGTGGTACAAATTCCTCTGGACTCCAGAAACTAAGCCTGATAATTAATTAATATTAGAGTACTATGTATTAGTTCCTGTCTTCTAGGGGCAAAGACAGGCCCAAGAGCAAACTCTTCTTGCTTTAAAATGGACAGAATCTGAGTGGAGATCTCAAGATAACTTAATACTTGCCTTTTTCCACAACCTCCCCACCAGGAAATGGGTATATGGGATTATTCTTCAGGATCAGGTGGATCTTCTACTTTTAGACCACTCCCTTCTACTTATTTTTGTTTATCTGGGTTTGTTATTTGAACATTCCTATTTGGAGCCAAATAGTGGTTCCAACCAATCCTCCACAGTTTCATGTTCAATATTTTTACCATTTGGTTCACTGTTCCAAGACAGGCTCTGATTTACTTGGTTTAGACCCCTTTAAAGATACAGAATGCAGCAAATGACTGGCCGAGGCTAAAAATACAGAGGCCATCACCATTGGCCACAGAAGGTTGTACTTGAATGTGCTGGGACTTCATGCTCATCATAGGATTCCAGACTCCCATTGAATTTCCCTGGTGCTAAGACTCATGAGACTTTTCACATGAAAATTCTGTGTAGCTAGTTATCTTCAGTCAATAGATTTATTTTATCCTAAAACCTAAAAAACATTTCTTATTTGGGTTTATCGTCTTATCAATCTGTCACTCTAACACACTGAGCTCTTTGAAGAATATTGATTCAGAGCTGGGCACTGGTGGCTCACGCCTTGTAATCCTAGCTACTCAGGAGGCTGAGAGCTGAGGCTCATGGTTCAAAGCCAGTTTCCAGGTAAGAAAGCCCATGAAACTCATATTTCCAATTAACTACCATAAAACTGAAAGTGGTGCTGTAGCTCAAGTGGTAGAGCACTAGCTTTGAGCAAAAAAGCCCAGGGACAATGCCAAGGCCCTGAGTTCAAGCCCCATCACTGACAAAAAAATATATTGGGCTGGGAAGGTGGCTCAGTGGTAGAGCGCTTGCCTTGCATGCCTGAGGCCCTGGGTTCGATTCCTCAGCACCACATAAGCAAAAAGAAAAAAGCCAGAAGTGGTGCTGTGGCTCAATTGGTAGAGTGCTAGCCTTGAGCTGAAGAGTTGAGAGACAGTGCCCAGGCCCAGAGTTCAGGCCCCACGACGACGACAAAAAAAAAAAAAATATTGATAAAAGTAAAGGCAAAACCCAACTGCTTGCAACATTATGTTCAAAACCATGTCCCTTCAATAAAAACAAGATTGAAGAGTTCAATCCTAAACCTATCACCTGACATCAAAAGAATGACTTTATCTAGATGGTTGACATTGAGCAGGGTACTCAGGGTTGTTTCTTATGCTATATAAAACAAGATCCTATAGGCCCAGAGGTCACAGCATTAACCCTATGACACACAATGCTTAACAAACCTTTTACTTTTAGGGATTTTTTTTTACTGAAAAGAAAAAACCAACATCTACTTGCCAAAATTTTGTGTATTGATTTCCATGGTAAATTCCCAAAGCAAAGCCCTCCCCAATCAAGAAGACAATCAAATCTACATCCAAGCCTTAACCTTGTATCCTCCTGGGATTCTTGGAATCCCATCCACAGAGGTGCTGCATCTTTCCTTCCCCAAGGAAGAAAAAGCCACTTTATAAATGACTGGCAAAAACTAGCTTGAATTCCATATCAAAGTTCTTGAAAAGCAAATTTTAATATTAAATCAAGGCAGCTGTCTGGGCAGAAGCCTCCTAGTTTGAATACGAAAATGCCATTTGGCAAAGTCATGAGAAAAAAAATACAAGCGTATCTCAATTAGATGTTTTTCCTAAGCCATTTCCCAGTTCCTGGACTGAAAGAAGTTGAGTGTGAGCTGAAAAATAGATTGACTAATAACATGATAATAAGTGACCTAATCAGGGGTTGTAATGGGGGGAAAAAGTCAAATGAAGTTCAGATTTGAACTAATTATGGGATAAATAATGAAAGGGAAACTCAAGAAATTATATTACTTTCAGAGTTCAATCTATCAGGGGACTAATCACATTCAAAAAAGATTTTGTTACAAATAGTAAGTTGAGCCGGGTGCGGGTGGCTCATGCCTGTAATCGTAGCTACTCAGGAGGCTGAGATCTGAGGATCATGGTTCAAAGCCAGCCCAGGCAGGAAAGTCCATGAGACTCTTATCTCCAATAAATCACCAGAAAACCGTAAGTGGCACTGTGGCTCAGGTGGTAGAGTGCTAGCCTTGAGCTGAAGAGCTGAGGGACAGTGCCCAGGCCTAGAGTTCAAGCCCCACAACCAACAAAAATAAATAAATAAATAAATAATGCATTAATTATTAATAATAAGTTGAATCATAGCTCATCTTGCCTATAAAAGAAGCCTTTCAGAGCTAATGTGGTAACAAATATATGCAGGTACTAGTAAGGTTGAAGCAAAAGGAACACTTGAATCTAGATAAGGTACTAAGATCCCACATCAAAAAACTTAAAAACAAAACATAAGAAACCTTCCAGAAGACCCAGCTGGTGGCTCACACCTGTAATCCTAGCTATTTATAAGGCTGAGATCTGAGGATCCTGGTTCAAAGCTAACCAGTGTAGAAAAGTGTATGAGACTCTTATTGCTAAGTAACCAAAAGCCAGAAGTAGGGCTATGAGTCAAGTGGTAGAGTATAGGCCTTGAGCTAAAAAGCCAAAAACAAAACAAAACAAACAAAAAAGCCAGAGACCTTTTCTCAAGACTCAGTTCCAGTATAAAAATAAATAAATACATAAATATTTTTTAAAAGAAGCCTTCACAAGAAGTTGGTCTCTCTTTTCAAAACTGTTGCTTCAATTCTAACAATTTTATCAACAATTTTGTAGAAACTATTCTTTTTTTACTATATATTTTTTGTTGTAAAGATACTGTACAGAGGGGTTACGGTTATATGAACAAGGTAATGAGTACATTTCCTATCCAGCATTGTTACCCCCTCCTTTGTCTTTCCCCTACCATCCCTTCCCTTCCCACCTCCCCAACTGATAAAAAGATGATAAAAAGCTCAAACCACACTCTATAAAGCTTATACTGATATTCTGAAAAATTCGGTTAAGAGTTGTGGCATAATACAATATTTAAATCAAGTATCACTGTTGCTAACATCTATTCATAGATATCTCTTTCTGCTCAAGCTACTGTGTCTACTCTTTGAATACAGTCCCTGGCACTATTTCCCCCTTCCCCCCCCCTCTCTCATTCACCAAGGGAAAATTCCATTTTCCTTAAGGTGAGGGAGAAGAAAGAGGAGAAGGAGAATACAAAAGAGTAGAATGATAAGGAAGAAAAGGAAAAAGAAGAGGAAGAGGATGTGGAGGAGGAAAAAGGGAAGATCTTTTTAGTAGTGATTTAAAAATTTTAGCAAGCAAAACTTTTCATGACATAAATGTGCAAAAGTACTGGGGTGTTTTGGAAAACCTCAGTTCATATGCATGACATAACAGCATTCAGTTCTTTAAGGTTAGTCTATTTCCTTCATAAGGAGTGGTCTCCAAGTGCAAATTTACCATTTCTTCCAGTAGTAAAGAAAGCCAGGATCCAAATTTATACAGAATCTGACTTCTGCTCTGCAGGAAAGCATGCCAGATTATCAATGGGGATTACAGGATTACAGTTTAGGTGATGGTAGTTTTATTCTTTGAGTTTTTCTGTGCCTTTTAGAACCACTGACTAATCCCTGTCTTTTA